CTGTTCATAAGCTCATTTGGCTTGGCCCTGATCAGTTTGGCTCAATGGATAGAGCGTTGGCCTGCGGACTGAAAGGTCCCAGGTTCAATTCTGGTCAAGGGCATGTACCTTGGTTGCAGGCACATCCCCAGTAGGAGGTGTGCAGGAGGCAGCTGATCGATGTTTCTCTCTCATCGATGTTTCTAACTCTCTATCACTCTCCCTTCCTCTCTGTAAAAAATCAATAGAATATATATTTTTTTAAAAAAGAGAGAGAGAGACTTCCCGGTACCTGGAAGTCATCTTTCCCTTGGTCTGGTCCATGGCCCCTAATTAGCTCCTTTGTCTCGCCTTGTAATGGTGCCTGTGTGTGTTTCAAGTGTTCATTTATTCAAAGGAAATTGTTCAAATGTACCCATTTCTTAAGTCTGTTGGGACAGGTATGGTTTAGTGAGGAGTGAAGTATGTGAGACCTGAGGAATGTCCTGGAAAGATAACTCTCTCCCGTTGCCTCATACTCCACTGCATAAAGCAGGAACTATGAAGGGCCGGGCCAGCCCTAACACTCCCTGAAAAAGAGGAGGCTCTATGGGCTCTCAGACGTATGTCCCAGACTTATTACAGCGCCTCTTCCTGGGGGGCCTTGAAAGGAACCTCTGATATGAAGAAAGGTCAAGTTAAGGCACTTGTGACCTTGGGTCATGGGCACTACAGCTCCCCCTGCCGACGGGGCCTCGGTCATAGACGATATAAACGTTCAGTCCCAAGGTTCACTGCACACTTCTGCAAGATGAGACAGAGCAGCCTCTCTGTTCTCACCGGGATTTTCCTCCTCCTCTGCCTCCACTTGGCGCAGCCTGAATGGGGGGCGATGGGTGGGTGTAGGGTGAGGCGGTCCTGTGTGTGCTCGGGGTGGGGAACGTCCTCAGAGGACGAGTCCATGGGACAAGCTGGGACTGATGCCCAGCAAGGACTCACAGGTGCCCCCAACTCACCCTGTGGCTTCGTTCCTCAGATGTGATCAGACCTGGATACTGTCCAGAGTTCCCACTCCGCTGTCCCTTCACGATGATACCGCTGTGCCGGCGCGATAGAAACTGCAAGAAGGACAAGAAGTGTTGTTTCTACAACTGTAGATATCAGTGTATGGTGCCGTGGCAGAGTCTGGATTGAGGTAAGAAGTCTCCCGGCTGCCTTTCTTGCCT